AGAGAGGGGGAGCAAAAAAACGAGAAGGGAAAAAAGCTAGACTGAGCTCTGTCAATTGGAGTGAGTGCACTACTAAGTCTGGCTTCACTACAAAGGTTAGCAGATCTGACTGTCAATACTGTCAGAGGAATGGAGTCTTAGGGAGGGGAGGGAGCAAAGGAGGTGGAGACACGAAGGTTAGGTGGTGGGGGAGGCAGGAGGGTTTGCTTTGAGAGAAAGAGATACTTTGATATTTCGGAATGTTAGAAGGGTGAATGTGGAGAACTGGAGGTTGGGGATCTAATTACCGGGCCATAATTGGGGGCTAGGGAATAGGTTGCCGTCCTCTCAACTCGCTGCAGATCAATTATGTTAAGAGAACATCTGTAAGTAGAACTTAATGAGGTCCATTAGAGCAACATGCGCTGCCTTCCCTAACGGTGCTTGTCAGCTTCTTGGATGAGCTGGAGTGTGCTGCTAACTAGGGACCTGGTGAAGGTGCTTAAATAGGCGAGGAGACGTGCGGGCCGGCTCAGGTCTGTTTTGCTTTGCTGCCAGGGAGGGAACGAGATCGCGAGCGAAGAAACAGCCATCGTGGGGAGAAGGAGGGGAATCTTTTTAGAAAAGGAGCGAGGAGGAGTTGCACCAAGGCGGGCTGCGTGTTTTTAACCCGCTCGCCTGGAACTTGACAAGGGAACCGGCTATATTTGAGCTTCCATCTCGTCTTAATCTGCAACTTTTCCTCGGTACAGTATCTTTGATCTTTCAATCAGATTTTTTTTCTTCTTGCTCCTCAAACATATTCTGATCTGCAGCCTCATTAAGAAGCTTGGAAAATGATTGTTCTTGCAATGTTTTAATCTGACCCTAAACCGGAACTAATTGGTGCTGATCTTTAGTTCTAATTAAGGTTGTTAGGATAAAGGATCTCAGGATAATTGCCAACTACTTTGACGCTTTCTCTCCTAAACAAGGAGTTATAGTCGTTTTACAAAGAGAGTGACTGTGGTGGGTGCGCGGGAGCATTAGGTTCTCTGTGTGTTACTAGCAGCGGTTTAAAACTGGGATTAAGTTGAAGCTTCCGTGAAATGAATGGTCGCTGGAGATGCTCAAAGGAGGCTTAAACCAGGGTAAGAGTACTAGGAAATATCTTTTTTTTTTTACTTCAATCCTCACAGAAACAGATTTATCCCCCCCCCCCTCCCCCCTCTTGTGAAGCCCGGTAATTAAACTCCCGCTTTCATTTCTACCACAAAACGAACCTGCATTGCTCGTGCTCGGATGAAGTGGGGTGGTCGTCTGTCGGATATCCCTCTCTCTGCTGACGTTATATCGCGAGTCTGTGTGCGAAAGAGGGGGTGTGTGAGAAGGAGTGAGAGAGAGACAGAGAGAGAGGGAGGCGAAATAATAAGCAGCTCTTCATTTTAACGACGTCCGTTCGCGCCAAGTGCGCTCGCGCTTCCCGCCACGCGGCTGCGCGCTGTACTGTTTCACGCGAGCGTCACGTTACGTGACGGACGGCTGAGTTCACCTCACCCGGCACAGTCTGATGATGGCACTCTCTAGCTCATCACCCCCAATAATTCAGATATCTTCGGTGAATAATTGACGTGATAATGCGCGAGATGAAGTGGTGGCGGGAGGGTAGAGAAAGAAGAAGGGGTTATAGCGTCCCCTACTCTCCCTCTCTCTCCCTTTCCTTTTTACTCAGCTTAAAGCGTCTCCCCCGCAAATTGCATGATTACCAAGATAGCCCGCTTTGAAATAATTCAATCCATGACAAAACCTAATTACTGGCAGGTAATACCCTGTCAGCTTTAATGCATCTCATCACTCATAATGGAAGCGAGGAGCATTTTATGACCCATCTCATTACTGCTGTATTTTAGGCAGAGAGTGATTGGCATGGGGCCACAATCTTACCACTACCCAACTCTTGTTACCATCAGTTCTCCGTCTCCACATTCTCAGTTTAGTCACTTTTAAACTGCACACTACTTTTGGGCCATGGCAGAAAATAAACTCTACACTGACTGTGTGATTATGTTTCCTTTTGTGCGTGTGTATGTGTGTGAGGAAGGAGGGTAGGTGGCACTGAAGGCCTGTGATTCATCCTACCTCGGCAACATGGGCATCAAGCAGTGCTAATTAGAGTGAACAGGTGTAACCAATGGGCGAGGAATAGCTTTAGAAACAGACTGTGGAGAAAAAAAACTGTGAAAACAGTGAAAATTATTAATCTCTCTCTCACACATGAATACACAGTTACAAGTTTTGTCCTGATATTTATGGACTTATAGCAAGTGGACAGCAATCACATACTGTGCGTGCCAGTTTATCTTCAGTTATCGAAAATATGTATTGTGTATCTGGCTAATACAGTTTGATTTAGGCCTCAACGGGTGCAGATGAACCAATAATGTGATTGCTGGAGAAAGAGATCTCACACACAAAGTGCTAGATTCTGTAGGTTTTTGCAGAGGTCATCAGATTAAGAACTGAAAAGGCTATTTTAAATGTGTTATTACATACAACATGATGTGCTTTTTACACTCTTCTCTTCATTGGTATGTTTCCACTTTTGTGAATAATTAGCATGTTGAAGTCAAAAAATAATCTGACTCTTAAATTTCTAGTGATTACAAATACTGACCCCAAGGGTGCATAATAGGCACCAGAGGTCACCTGAAAAGATTTAGTATAGGAAACACAATGAGGTACATCATGTGCACACACATTTCAAAAAGCACCAGCAGTATTGATATATTAAGTGACTTTAAAATGCATAATGTTCATGCTAAATTAAATCAAATGTAACATGAGTTTAATAAGAGCATGGTTTGGTATTTGAGGCAAATCAATTGGACTGCGGAGGACATACAAGACAAAAGTTAAAGAATAGTATATTAGTGTTTTTCAAATTACCCTAAATGGCTCCTCTGATTAATTTGGTCTGTTCAAGCACAGTATACAAACTATTATTAATCACTGAATACTGAATGAATTGGGTGTGCTGATTCAATAGGAGACTGACATATTGAAAGATTTCAAAAGGATGTGCTTAGGAATGCTGTAGAAGTTTAAATGAATGAGTTTGCGCATTTATGGAAATTGAGTGCCTCAACGTTTGTTTTGGTATGTTTTAGCCATTTTGAGCTTTTTTTGTAGATTAAAAAAATTGATATTAGGTTTTCCTTATTCTGACATCAAATCCTACATTCTTCATAATATGTTAAATTATATGCACTTTCTACAAGCACTTTAACTCCATTGCAGCATCTTATATGCCTATTTTTCAAACTAAACGCAGAAATAAAAGTTACTTGTGACACTCGAGGTTCTTGATAAAGGCACTAATGCGTAAAAGCATTTTTTTGTTGTTGTTGTTGATGTAATTGGAATCTCTTTTTGTTTTTCTCAGAGTGTGTTTGCTTGCATTAGGATAATTAAGAGTAAAACAGACGCACGTGCACAAACAGCTGTCCATATACTGACAGACATGCATATGCATGCATAAATGTTTTATTAATCAGACCTATTCTGCTCTCACTATGTAGCAGCACGAAATTGTTGCCTAGCTGCTAAAACAAAGAGTGACAGAGAGAGAGAGAGAGAGAGAGAGTGTGTGTGTGTGTGTGCAAACGTGTAGTACAGAGCTCATAGCATGTTTGCGCGCGCGTCTCAGAGAGGTGCGCATTAAGTTTGTGTTAGCGAGCGCGCGCTCCGTTACTCCGGCTGTCGGTAATAACCGAATGACCTTTTCCTCCTCGTGTAATGTCTCACTGGTGAGGGATTGGGTTTGAAGATAATAAAGCTAGGCTTCACTATTCCTCGTTCCTCACTCACTGATGGGCAAGTTGTTGTGAGCCTTCTCAGAATACTCAATACATGACGGCTCGCGCGAGAACACCTGTAGCTTTTGGTGCGAACAACTACTCGTAGATGATCCATGTGGACCTCATTATTTTTAACCTGAAGATCACTCTTATCCGCGGTGCAATGTCAGATTCGTGAACTTTTGCTCCGAGGAATATTGAGTTGGAGTCGGTGCTATCCTAACTTAACCTTCTGCGTAACTTGGTCAAGAAGGTGAGTGTGCGCCGCTTTAATTGTCTTTACCGAACGCATTTCTTGTATTTCTTTTGGAGTTAAATACACGTACTGCTTAATGAACAGGGGTTGCTTTTATCGTTAGTGTTTAAGCTTCAGGTTTGCATGCGTCGGATCATTTGTGCACGTGATTCAATTAATTTCAGAATAAACTAATCCTGCAAAAAGCCAGGTGTGTTGTCATGTATGCACATTGTGGAGCATGCACAAAACGATTGTTTTTACACAATCTGTCTGCATGACAGGAACTAACAACAGATATTCAGAGTAAATATGGGTTCATTATGGGCATCAGTGGTTTAATGAAAAGCGTCTAACTTACACGTAACCTTTCCATTCCACAAAAGGTTTGTTATAGTAGTAAATAAGCATTCATATTATTAAATTGTTCAATGTTTTATAAGAAAACTGAAATATTTTATAAACAAACAAAACAAATTATTCCTCTGTGACTTCAGTGACAAACCACAGAAAACGTGATATATGCTTAAAACTGTAACATGGGATTGATGCATGTAGTTTATTAACACAAAAGTTATTGAATAAGAGGAACTTGGTGCATTTCTAGAGCTTGAAAGAGATTGCGAAAGCTGTTGGGTTGCATCCGTGTTTATATCCTAAAAATGTGGCACGAATCAGAAGATATGCAGTTCATGAATGCTTGATTGCGTTTTAGTATATGCGAGTTCCTGCATGTTGTCTCTTGTATACATCCAACTTCGTGCCTTTTACTGTAGCGCACTGAAATAGGCGAATAGCGAGAGGCACGATAGGATTATAAGATTACGGCGCGCGCGAAGGGGTAAAGCATATGCCTTTGTCATCCGCTGTCATTTGTTCGCCGCCACTTGCCTCGCCACGGCTGCTGGTCGATCTAATTTCATAGTCGAGCACTGTTGTGACAAACGGAGTCTTAACAGCGTGTGGCGCTGAGCGATAGCGGCTCGCTCGCTCTTTCTTTCTCCCTCCCGTGTTTTGTTGATTGGTGTTTTCGTCGTTTTCACTCTTTTCTGCCGGAGCGAGCTGGATTGTTACTTGTAACAAAAGCGAAGCACCCTCGCGCGCATACAGCTGCTCACTTCACGCGCATCTTTGGCTCGCGCCTCGTCTTGTTGCATGGTGTTTCTGGGAGCCGAAGCGGGTCAACCAATGCAGAAAAGGGAGAAAAGTTTCGGTAAGAGCTGCGTTTTGCATCATATCAGTGTGTGTGTGATGGTTTGGTTAAACGAGTGGCTGAGTACTTGGGATGTTTCCATGCGTAGTTTTGTCGCTGTGCAGCTGCATTTGACCGAGCCGACGCATTTGTCTCATTTCCCCGGTGTGAATTTTCGTGGTTTGCTTAGACAATTGTAAATAACGGGCTGTGGTGAGTCGCCGCGTATCATCGTTTCTAACACGTTAGCGGTTTCATTTCGTCGTTTTGCAAGCTGCAAATCTTATTGGCCTTTTCCGTGCACTAGGCTGCCATGGCAACAGTAATTAAACTGATAAGAGGGTGAAATGTCAGCATCTCCGGCTCGCGCAGCTGTGATGTGAAATCAAATTGGTACTTTGCGCCCGGTGTTTGCCAAGTCTCGCCTCGAAATTTCCCCCATCAGTATCCGCGAACAGGGAAGCGCACAAAGAGCATCACTATGCGAACGGGACATGATGAAATATCTGAGTGAGCAAAGACAAAAAAGACACCAATGTCCCGGGCCTATAGGGATGAGTAGCACATAAACGATTTTAGTTGCGAATTCTTTCGTGCGTAACGATCCCGTTCCGTTAATGCTGCTTTTAGCACTCCTGATGAAGAAATGCTGAACTGAGCTTCGTATTGTATTTACTTTGCTTAGACATCTATTGCCAAACCATGAGATCCATGCAGATTTTATATAGGCTAAACCTTATATAAACTTATATAACATATAAGAAATGTATTGTAGTTCTTTCCAAAGATGCGTTTATACAGACTTTATGAGATGTCACGTTTCAGAGCTGCAGAAATGCAGTCAAATGTGACGTGTTTAACCAATATAAAGATGCTAAATAAAAATTGTGACGTAACAAAAAACTGTGACAAGGCTTAATCCATTTAGTAAAATAAAACCAAGCCTGATACTGATTATAAAAATACCCCTATAATAAAAATAAATGACATTCGGTAAGTATTACACCTCACAAGCTTTAAATGGGCTATTACACTGTTATAATTGTTTCTTAATTTCAAGTGGAACATAACGAAAGTAATAATAACAGAAGTTCAACCAACCGTCATGTTACTCCAGGAAAAGCTCCAATGATTCCCTAATTTTGAATCGCTAAAAAGAATCGGCTCACAAGAGTCATTTGTTCAAAAGTCAAACTACACTATTAGCACTGCATGTCTCGGATTCACTAAAAACAACCGACTCATAAGGGTAACTCGATTTGGATTTAGGCTGTACTGTTCAACCGGTATGTTTCATATTCACGAAAACGAAACCTGAATCTAGAATCGAACTATATGATTCCGATTCACTAATAAGAACTTGTTCAAACGAGTCATGAGTTCATGATTTGAACTAAAATGACCATGCTAAGTGCAGAAAACAGTCTCAGTGTGGTTCAGGGCAGTTTTTCTGCATCAGTGGCAAAATCATTTAGTTTTTGTGTTTATAAAATGCCTACCCTGGCCCAATCCTCGTGTTAGAATAATCTTTTGTTCACTATTTGAAATAACAAAATCGATGAGGCCATGAACATCCCACACTCCTATTAGAGAACACCGAATTGGGCATCCAAGCTCTGAATAGAAGGTCTAGTTGGTTTGTTTCACAATCGATTCATTTGGGACTAACAGTGATTGCAGACGGAGGGGAGTCGAAACTCTAACTTCTTTAGCTTGGTAATGAGAGGCGGTGACTTTGTTGTGTTAACCAGACGAGCTAGGGCTGTGCGGATGAGTGGGACTGAACAAGGACGCATAGCAGAGGAAATCAGCCGTGTGCTTCTCTTACAATCCAATCCAGCCAATTAAAAGCTCAACAGCTTAAACACAATGGGACAAACAGTGCGGCGGTGCTACCTGTCTGATGTGCCTCCTTGCTGTTTTCCCCTCATCAAGCCCTCGCCTTTGAATAAACTCAAAATAAAGCATCATAAAAACGCCAGTGAGGTCGAAGGAATCATCATTATCCCTTGCCTCGTTTTCATTGAATGTTCCTACATCTTAACGAGCATGGTCTTACAGCAGAAAGAAGTTGTTCACAGTCTAAGCCTATGGTACTGCATCAGATATTTGCTCTAGGCTATAATTATGACCCTAGAGGGATCGGCTACCTGCTGTTCCTTTCCCTGCATTGTAATGCTCAGTTGAATTGAAACAATTTCACACCTGTCCTCAGTCTTACTAATTGGTGCACTGTCTTGTTTATTTTCTGTGAGGGCCAACTGCCACGCTTTTGGCAAATCATTTTTGAAAGTAATTATCGTCAAGGCCACATGTTAAAAAAAGAGAAGCGGCAAACTCTCTCTCTGTTAGCTATGGAAGAGTCTTAATGGTCTGCAAAAGTGTTGACATGCACGACTATTTAAAGGGATAGTGCAGCCAAAAATAAATTCTAACATCATTTACTCACCATTGTGCCATTCCAGACCCTTTCTTCCGTAGAATGCGAAAGCTGATATTACGGATGTTTCACTTTCATTGCATGTTTTACTTTTTTTCATCCAAACACTGAAGCTCTTGTAATGACACGAGGGTGAGTAAATGATTTTTGTGTGTGTGCAGAATCTAACACTTTTCTTGTCAAGTAGTCCAAACAAGGCTTTTTAATCTCATATTCCTCTATGAATGTATTTCAGCGAGATTGCCTGGACAACGCATCGTGGCGACGAGCGCATTATAACTATCCCGAGGGAGGTCCTCAATTCAGACAGAGACACTCAATTTACCACAGCTGAGAAATCTCTCGGTGACCCTCTCACTCAAAGTTCACAATTTCTCACTGCTTGCGCTCTCACCCCCTCCAAGAGCAGCATATACATTAGGTGGAATCTATGGCTCTGACAGCTTCTCCTGCACAAGGTGAGAAATGGGGACTGTCGCAGAAGCAGGACAACGGGGCAAAATCAGACGTACTTGTAAAAATGTGGGACAAAAACTTTTTGGGCCGGGACAGGAGCAGTGGCGTGGGGGGAAGTGGGGTACAGCTTACTCTACTCTGTATGGAGGGAGAATACTAATTACGGGCCTTCAGCATGAGCCCACATTGTTCCCTTTCTACCCAACAAAGCCCTTTCACGCCCTGTAAAGGGCTACACAATGCCTGCTCTGGGGGCAAGCTTTGGTCCCTCCCCTAAAGAGGGGGAAGAGGAGGATGTTAGCTACATTGGCTTCTTGTTATTGTTGATAAAATACTGTGTGTTCACCCCTTGATTGAAATGCACGGCACATAATTTACTGTCAAAAGACACCTGGAACTATGTTCTCAACTTGTCACCCTTTCTCCGCAGGTATACAAATGCTCTCCGTCCAGCCGGACACCAAGCCAAAGGGCTGTGCCGGCTGCAACCGGAAAATCAAGGACCGCTACCTGCTGAAGGCCCTGGACAAGTACTGGCACGAAGACTGCCTCAAGTGTGCCTGCTGCGACTGCAGACTCGGCGAGGTGGGATCCACACTGTACACCAAAGCCAACCTCATCCTCTGTCGGAGGGACTACCTACGGTAAGAGAAACACTCACTATTTGTATCACCCTGTAGACACCACTGATCGCACGTTACAAGATGTCACTGAAACCTGAACCGCATTCAAAAGAGACCTCTCTTGGGCCTTGTGTCAAATCCCAAACAAAGCCAAATGCCACAATGAGCCATATTGCTGTTAACACTGGCTTTAATGGCTGCCCTTAACGCCCAGCGTTCTCCCATGCTGTTAGATATCCTTTGCTCTTCATAATAGAAAAAGGAGCTGAAAGGGGATCTTTATGAGCCTATAAACTGCTGCCATTTCTGTGAGTTTTCAATGGATTCACTTGTTGGATCCAATCAACACACTGAAGCTTGATGGAGGGGCATTGTTTAGCCAGAGACCACCCTGGTTCTTGTTCAATCAGCTTACCTTTGTCCACTGATGGAAGGGTTCCCTAGAAACCCGACCTCTCAATTACATGCTTTTCTATCCAGGTCCCAAACAAGCAGGACTTTTAAAGCAACAAGTCTGCTGCATTTCTGACAAATGCTTTCTGCAAAAACAATCCTCCAGAAGGAATGGCAATCTAAAAATCTTTGAGTTTCTTTTTCTTGGCCTTTAGGTGATTAAAAATGGTTGCGTCATTTGACCTTTGATTTTTGACTATGCAACAATTTTTCTAAACTATTATTTTAAAAATGCAATGGTCCCACTTTATATTAAGTGTCCTTAACTACTATGTACTTACATCAAAAAATAAATACAATGTACTTACTGTGTTTATAATGTATTTGAGAACACTTGTGGTGCTTTTAAGTTGGGGTAGAGGTTGGGTTATGGACAGGTTTGGTGGCATGGGTAGGGAAAGGGTGGGTTAAGGTGTAAGGGATGGTCAACAGTGTATTTACAAATGTAATTACAAACGTTAATGACAGATGTAATTACATACATGTATTTAATCAAGCATAAGTACATAGTAAATACATGTATTTACACAATAAGTACATTGTAACAAACTATTAATTCATGTGAAAGTACATATTAGTTAAGGCCACTTAATATAAAGTGGGACCAATGCAATTAAAATTTGTCCTTATGTCGCATTTGGGTCAATTATAGTCTTTGAGATAATTCATGAAAGCATCTTTAAAAATGTATAGATATATAATTTAGGATACTTAAATTACCTAAAATGATCTTTTGAGAGATGTTACACATCATATGTTTGGGGCAGTTTTGACCCGCATATGTTTACTGAGTATCATTAGGTATCAAAATACTTATGAAGCTATATTAGTGCATTATTCTCTTTATCTCACATAACCTAATTTACATCAAGCCTGACATCGTCAGATTGCACACTTGAAATAAGTGAATCGAAAGACTAGGATATTAATTTAATGATATTATCAAGATATTAGGATCAATGCAACAAAACCATTACCACAGAGTTACGATGTGTTCATTTACAATTTACCATCATTGTATCATCAGAATTAGCATGAAGCAACTCAATCAGTGCAGCATTTTGTTCCCTCCTAGTCTTTCTACCAAGCAGTTACACACACTTGTACATGTAAACGTGTGCGCTATGTATATAAAATGATACAAACGCTCAACGAGATGCTCCAGGGAGTCACAGCTTTGTGAGAGTGCTAGAAGCTACAGTAGGCGCTTTTGAAAAGGCACAGTTCATTTAATTTTGGCATGGGCGATGAGAGAGTCTCCATTAGGCGCGGTACACAAGCAGGCTTTGGGGAAACGCGACTGTAAAGCATCGCCAGAGGGCCAGAGGCAGGCTGAGATTACCATCTCGCAGTAAGCCTCATTGACTGTGCCCTGCTAAACTGCATCTTCATTCACGACAAGTTGGTGCCTCAAACAACAGCGGCAGAGATAGATGTGTCATTAGGAGATGGCAGTGTATGAGCTACGCCAAGGGTTTCTACCATGCGCATGTGTATTTTCTACCTTTTAATAATTCGAACACCTCAACCGCTAAACCTAATGCACCTAATGTGATTCTTTCATCCTCAAAGTTCAAGGATACTAAATCGATTCGATTCTGGCCATCACAAAGTCTTTCTTCACCTCCAGCTCCACGTCTTCTCTGCAACAGCAAATTAGGGGCGAGCATGGCACACTACCAGTCCCTCAAATCACATCTGCAACACCACCAGTCCTCCCGCACTCCCCTCGATTGGATCGTTTCCTTATTTATTTTCTTAAGTTAGTGCAGGGGAGATAAGAGATAGACTTAATCCCTTCCTCTTTGTTCTGTGTTCTCGTTCGCCCGTCCTTATTCCAAGTAAATTATGCTTGGATTTATTATACAAGATTCCCCCCCACCCCCACCGTCCGCACAGAATCAATCCAGTCCTGTTTAGCAGTGTGGCATGTTATTAAGGCTGACATAACCAGGGTTAATAGAATTCTTCAGGGGTCTACAACCATGAGCGATGTGATCCCACCAGCTGAGAAATAATAATCCCTATCGCAACACACACAAAAACAAATTAAATAAGGGAAAAAAAAAGATTTATGCCTTCCTGGACCTGTCTCCCTTAGTATGTTTTATCAAGGATGATGTGGGGTTTTGTTGAAAGGAGAGGCAGAAATCGTTTTTTTGGTTTGAGGATAGAATATCATTCGTTTCATATTCAAAGCATCGAGAAGGTAATTATCGAGTCGGGCCTGACGATTGCTCTGAATATACAGAAAAACGACCTGTCATATCAACAACAAATGATTCTTTTGATACCAAGCCGACATCTCCATTGATGATAAAGGTAATAACCGGCATGCCAGTGTTTATGCCGATGCAGTTACATTTCATAGCGGGAAGCGATAAAGTTAAAAGGAGCAGACCAAAAAGGCAAGTCGAGAAACGGGCAAAAATGAACCCTGTCAGAAAGTAGTTACCGACAGGAAAGCCTAGCATGCGAGCAGGGAAGCTGTTAGGCATCAGTTAATGGAAAACTGTAAATTTCAGGCATCCATTTTAAAGACAGCGCAGGGTGACCACTTATTTATTTATCTATCTATTCATTCATTTTTTTAATCCAACTTCAATTTTCCTCTACAGTGGTTTTACTAAGATTGTAAATGCAGGCAAACTCACAGGGCAGTCAACATGACTGGATTTATTACCGTTATGGAAAGCTGGCTATCGGTGAAAGATAACCAACATGTAAAGCACGGTTTGGTTGTAATAACTTGCTTTTTTTTCCACTCCCTTCCTCTCTCGGCCTTCATTCAGGAACCACTCTGTGGTCCGCATCTACCTTATGCTGTGTAAACTTTTGGAAATGAACCATAAAAATGTATCTTTGACTTTTTCAAACAGTTTTTTGCATCTGCAGATTATATGCATTTATGGATGTGCCACATGTTTATCTGTAGGTCAACAAAATGTGAGGACGGAATTGGTCTTGTGATTCGTTTCTGCTGCGCATTTACAGCACAGATAAATTATAATTACTTTGTTGCGACAATGATTTCAGGATTGCACATTTTGAACGACAAAGATAAAGTAGAGGCATTAAAAAATGTAGGTGGCTTACACTCTTTATAAAGGGGAAAATACACTGTACCTCGGATGCAATCGCTGCTCTTCACCACCATGCAAAGTGAAGTTCGCCCACTATCGCCCTTGAAAAACATGAGAAGCATCATATTTGGGTTTGTGCCACGGAGCAGTCCAAAGAGTCACCACCTAAGGAGACAGAGACAAATTATTTGAAAAATCGCACTATGTGGACCTCAACACAAACCGTGTGCAATCAGCTATTTTAGTTTAATCTATGTTTCGTGTGCTGTGCAGGTGTGCAATACTCATTTTTTCCCCTTCGGCTAACTCTCCTTGTAATTTCGTAAAGGTCACCAAAGCATAACTTCTTAGTTCAGAAGTTCTCCAGTGCTCTAGTTTAGTTAAGAGCAATCATTCTCAAATATGAATGCGTTTATTTATTTACTTCCAGCTGACGTGACACTAAAGAAGCAAAGTCGCAGCCGTGTTGTCTGTTAAAGGTTAGCCTGGTGTCTCCTGCGGGACTAGCGCAATGCGGCCCGGTGTAGTTTGTCTTGTTTTCTCCTCGCAGTCGTTTTTTGAAGGCAGCTGAAAGATTGAGGCCATCGCTTGTTCTAATGACCAGTGCAGATGTTCACAAACAGTGCACTGCTCTCTGTCTCTGAAGGGCATTAGATAGGATTTTGGGTATGACAAACACTGAATGCTAAAACAGAGCACTGCTAGCATTGCACACTGTTTTGCAGTCAGAATCGGTGTTGGAAAGTAAGTAATGTAACAATAGTTTAGCAGTCGTCAAAATCTAGTTATGGAAGTATTTATGTAGGATGATAAAAGGGTAAACTTCTGGTTTTTGTAATGCACAAAAATTGTACCAAAGTGGGTCAAATGAACTGATTTGAATTGGGTTAAGTTGAACAAATAATATTTGCGCTGAAAATTCTGATTAATTTTATTTTTTAAGTGGAGTTTTATAAATTACTTTTAAAGGGATCACATGCTATGATTGATCACAGCTGGTCCCGCATCCCAATCATTGTTAAACCAATCAGATAAATCCTAGCCTTCAGTAAATAGCCTGGTTTGTTTTACTTCAAGTATCTTCGTTTTGAAGAATCCCCCTATTTCCACCTTTACCAAGGGGAGCTTTCAATACCTTGCTGATCTTGGACCCCGTTTTATGCTATATGACCAGGCAGGAGCCCTGGGCTCAAGTATCTTTGAGCTCAGGGTTCTCTCCTGGGACATCATGCCAAACCTGCAATCAGTATCAAGCAATAGCTAAGCATCAACTCTTGAAACAAGAGTGTAAGGGTTGGTGTAAGTGTAAATAAAAGTAAAACAAGCTTAGAATAAATTTTGAAATTGTAATGGCTAGTTATTTTCTATCATTTGACACCATCTATTTGTCTTATGATTTTTGTATCACACTATAAAAAAATATTTTAATTAATGACAATGTTTTAACAATTTTTTTTAGAATTATAGGACCTTGATGTCTAATCA